ACAATCTATTTATTGAATCTGTTTATTTCATTACTTGGAAATGCTATTAATGAAACATATAATGAAGAATCTTTCTTACAGTTAAGAGGAGAGGTAAAATTTTTTATTATATTTTATACATCTATTATAAATTATAAGTTAAAAAAAGTAAAATAATCATTATCATTACTAGATATTAGCTGAAATTGAACTTTTTTGGATGTTACCTTATCAAAGAAGAAAGAAAAACTGGTTTCCGGAAATTTTGTAATTACGTATTTTGATTTATATATTGCAAATTTATATATATATGCTAATATATAATTTAAATATTTAGATATTATGATGCTTCAATTCTTGAACTTAGAAAATATGTACAAAATCTTAAAGATGAACAAAATAAAGAAATTTTAAAAGATTTACTTCCTGCAATCAAAGAAATCGTTGAAGCCGAAGATTCAACCGAAGTTTCAACTGAAGATTCACCCTATGATCTCATCGCGCTAAATTTACCTAACCCTAAAGACTCAACCAAAGACTCAAACTAAGACTTTTAGCTGAAGGGTGGTCCTATGATCTCATCACGCAAGAATAAAATTAGAAATTGTTTTTTTAGATATAAATAATAAATTAGAAATTTCAATTTAGCATGTTGAATAGCATAATTCAAATGCCATTCAACATTAATGATATCTGACTAATAATAAAAACTTTCGTTATTAACTGACTATTAACAAAATGAAAATTATGTGAATAATGAAACCTAATGACGATTGATGAAGCACAAGGTTGTCATTATTTCCTTTCATGATAGAAATAAATTAACTTATGTAAAGTCGATTTTTATTATTCATTTCCATTTCGATTTTTTTGCATAGTTCTGATATTACCTGATAATTTGCGTTACTCCCGATGAATCCGATAGGTTGACGAAGAAAGCTAAACTAATTTTTCCATAAGCTTGTTAAAAGGTTAACTCTTTTGTAACGAACTGACGATTTAGTAGGAAAAAGTTCGTGTTAATTAAAAATTACTATAGTTTGATTGAATAAAAGTAATTTTGAAAAAATTTAAAAATTCAGAATATTCAAAGGTCGTTATAAAAAAACTCGTTGAATGAAGAGCAACTGTATTTTTATATTTTATTGGCTAAATTAATTTTGTTAAGGGTTTCGTTAATAGTCAGGAGTTCGTCAATTGCCAAAATTTCATCATCGCAAATTATCTTTTTTACTAAAACTAGGCGTTTGCAAAATCCAAAAGAAATAATACATGATGTGATTTTTGTATTATACAGTATGAATTCAAATTATGAATAAATATGCCTGCTTGTACCGTATTTATTTTGAAATTAATTAAATTTGGAATTGAAGATTTTAGCATTAAATATATGAAATGCCGGTACTGCAAAAATGCTGTTCTTGATGGATCGGTACCGTTCTGATGGGATAGGAAAAAATTAATTTGCATACCGTTCCTGATAAAGTTCTTAAAAGAGCCCAAAGCCAATTTCTCATAACAATGCGTGGTTGTAATGTGAATGCTAAAGTTATTACCATAATTAATCCATAATATTCATAATATTGATCTCGATATTTACTAAAATTTTGAACGTTGTATATTGATTTACAATCAGTAATGCAGTAATGGGGTTGCCAAATTTTGCACCGTAGGTTTACTACTTCGGTTAGTTTTAGATTATTATCAACAACACCGACAATCCATCAAAACAATATCTTCGCTGCCCTGGATATACTGTATAAGGCAATGTAATGAAACTTCGGTTCATCTATAGTATAACGTGTACTAATACACTCGATGATCACATCAAATATCACATTATAAATAAGGTTATA